TGGGCAACATATTTAGTCCAGCCTGAGGTATGGAGTGAACCTGTATAAACTATCAGCCAACCAACCAACCAACCAACCAACCAACCAACCAAACAAACAAACAAACAATAAATAAATAAAACAAAACACAAAACGAGGAGATAATAATCCCATCTTAATTATATGTATGCACAGTTGAGGGAGATTGGTTCCCTCTTATACCCCCAGGGTACTGAGGAGGGAGAAGTGAGAAATTTGTAGATAGAAGTGTATATAGAGAGACGATTAGAAAACACAGGATACCTCAGGAGGGCCTGGATCCTAATCCACAGGCCCCTTCTGTCACTACTAAAGGGCTTTTAAAAGGAATGCCAAGGGGTGGAGCAAAAGACCTCCCCCCAGCACAGCCTAGTGTAGACCATCCCAAACACCTGGTGTCCTTGCATGTGGACAAGCCATCCCCTAATGCAGCCCTCTGTGTAAAGCAAGCTCAGATCTCACCAGGAAACCTTTGTAGGCTCCCACATACAGTCAATCAACAAATGTTTATCAAATATTTACTAAGCATGGCAGTATTATTTGCAAGAATGGAAGATTAGCTGTCTGTTCTGGGTATGAGTTTACAATCTGTCAGACAAAACAACAACAGATACTCTTGATGCAATGGTGAATGTCATAAGACTATACAGAAAATAGTAAATTATACTGACTTTAAACTTACAGCTTTTGGTCTGAACATTGTTCTGTTCACTGTATTGGTTCAACATCTCATTGTCTCTAACTTAAAATATTGCAGTAATGTCTGGGACTTAGTTAATTATTTATTGCCACATGGAATAAATAAACAAATAGCTAAAAATCAAAATACTAGAGAAGTTAGAAGAAGTCAGGAATGGTCAGTGAAGTCTGCCCAAAGAAGGTATTAGTAAGTCAAATCCACGTGGGAAACCCATAGAAAGAGCAAACACAGACAGTGGAGGGTGTTCCTCTCTCTAGTACCAAGGAAGTACCTCTCTCTAGAGTCTAGTGCAGATAGTGAGGTCATATTTATTCGAAGTACCTCTCTCTAGAGTCTAGTGCTGATAGTGAGGTCATATTTATTCTGTTTTCAGAACTTTGTCTAAATATGACATTTTTAATCATCAGAAAGATGTTTGACAAGCACTAAAAGCTGTTTATTAATAATTCAAGTGATCTGAAAAAAATCGTGTGCTAAATGCTAATTCCAAACAACTCTGATTTGTTTATTAAGGCTCTGTGTTATTGTTAAACTTTTCAGCAGAATGTTTTAAAAAGTGACAATTTTCTTAACATTTGCCAAGATGTTTCATTAATTTAGTGTGATAACTCTCTGTGCTTCAGTTACTATTATTTGAATAATTGTTTTCAATTGTTTGATACTTCTGTCATTTACTGGCCAGTATATTTTTTTGTCCAGTAGACTTTATTTATTTATATTAAGTCTTCTAGTTAATGTAGAAATAATCAGTTTCATTATGATGTTTTCATAAATAATGTGTCATTGTACTTTGCTCATATAAGTCAATCCACTGTGCTACCCTAGCCCATCCTTCCTTCTTTCCTATCATTGGTCCCCTTTCTCTCTGCAAGTAGCCCTCTTCTGCTGTGTCCTATACACGTAAAGTTAAATCTCTACTTTTGTCTTTCTTCCCACCGCTCTTTCTCGTTTCCTGTCTTAGACTCCTTCCTCTCCCCTGTAGTCCCATTCTACTGTCTGCCTTGCTTATTCTTTTCCTCTATTGCAAGGTTGAGATTGCCTTTTTCCTCTTCTATGCAACAGAGGAGGGGGTGTTTATTTTGTACATGTACCACGTTTTCTTTCTTTTAAAAGTTTTTCCTTTTATTGAAAATAGATTTTTTTCCCTCACATAATATATCTTGATTATGGTTTCCCCTCCCTCTACTCCTCACCACATCCCCTTCTATCTGGATCTACTCTCTTCTTGTCTCATATTAGAATATATATATATATATATATATATATTTCTTAAAAAAAACCAAAAATACTTTGTGCAACCATTGCCCTAGCATATTTTGCAGGCAGGACACCAGTAACATATTTTTAAAAATCTGTTCATCCCAATATTTGATAACCATTCCTTTGTATATAGTCTTGTATTAGTTTAGAACCTTCTTATTTAGACAAAGAGGGGGAGATGTAGTGGTAGCTATTCCAGCTTGGATCTGGAAGTTCCAACCCCCATTGAGACTCTGGCAACTGTCACACCTATGAGGCAGGGCCAGGGGAGGCACCTGGAGACCCGAGATCTGGATGGGCGAGCACGCGCACTCTGTTCTGGGACCCTGAACGGTAGAGGTGGACCAAGCAGAGCTCCAGAGAACACTGCTGGACTGTGATATACCTTCCCCAGACCCTGTGACCTACCTTTCCCTTTTTGTAAGTTATGCACTAAATAAATCTTCCTTTTAACTAAAAAAAAAAAAAAATCTGTTCATCCACCGATGGACATCTAGTTTGGTTCCTTATTTTGAATGCTGCAAGTCTCTGTGGTATTCCGACCTAGATCATTTTGGGTACATACCCATGAGTTGTATAGCTGGAGCATATGGCAGTTCTGTTCTAGTTCTGGTTTTTGAGGAATGGCCATGTTGATATCTGTACTGGGTGGATACAGGTGGTTATGTTTCCACTAGTTGTGCACAAATGTTCATTTTATATGACGTCCATTCCAGAATTAGTTATTCTTGTTTCCTTGATGATAGTTATTATGAGTTGGGTGAGAGGAAATTTCAATGTGGTTTTAATGTGCCTTTTACTGATGGCTGAGGATCTTGAACATTTTTATACCACTTTAATATATCTATTAGATTTTTATATTTATTATTTTGAACATATTTTGATTAATTTATTTATTAGATGATTTGGGTTTGGTATTTATTGTTTTGAAATATTTGTAGATTTTAGGCATTAGATATTAATCTCCAGTCACATGTATAGTTAGCAAAATTTTTCTCCAGTTCTGCAGGGTGTATATTCACTGTGCTGACTTTTGTTATGCAAGAGCTTTTAATTTCATAGACTCTTATCCTAGCTACTGTTCTATTGCTGGGAAGAGATGCCATGACCAAGGAAACTATCAGAAAGGAACATTTAGTTGAGGCTTGCTTCCAGTTTCAGAGGGTTGGTTCCTTATCATCATGGTGGGAAGAAGACAGGATTCCCAGTGACACACTTCCTCTGTTAAGGCCACGCCTACTCCAACAAGGCCACACCTTCTGACCCTTCCCAAACCATTCACCAACTGGAAACTAAGGATTCAAATATATGAGCCCATGGGGGCCCATTCTCATTAAAACCACCAAAATCCCAACTGCCAAATTATTCATTATTTCTTGAGATAGTGTTTTTTTCAGTATGTCCTCACTTATTCCTATGTCTTGAAGTGCTTTTCTCCTTAATATTTAGTTTCAAAGTTGCTGGTCTTACACTAGGATCCTTAATACATTTTATTGATTTTTGTATACTATGAAAGTTAGGGATGTAGTTTCTACATGTGGATATTTAATATTCTCAAAAAGTCTGACTTTTCTCTAATGTATATTTGTGACAGCATTGTCAAAAATTAGCTGGCTGTTGGTATAGAATTATGTCCTCTACTCTGTTCTATTGGCATTACAGTATCTTTATTGACAGATACCATTATTGGTCAAACATATATATGGAGGAAAGTTAAATTTATACAGGTTAGTTAGTTTATCATGTGGGTGAAATATGGTTGAAGATAGCTTCAAAAAATCCAAAAAAAAATGAATTTTCTCATTTATGGCTGAACACCACACAGACACTTATTTTCTGTATTTTGGGTATCTATAACTCTCTTTATTAACCATCTTACATTGCACAAAGGTACTTCCTGATGAGTTCTGGTAGCTTCACTGACTGTGGGGTATAGAGACAAGTGTTTAGAAGGCCATATGATACTGTGTCAATGTAGCAAAATAACAGGTTCACTCTTAGGGCTTATTGTTCCTGGCTATATCATACTCATCCTTAAGGTTCAGGAAGCATCCTGGAAGAGGACACAGAAAATTGCAAGAGCCACCATTAGCAGAGTTCTGAGGTGAAGTGAAACAGTATTTTCTGGGCATGACAGGTTGTTGTCATGGCCTGTCAAGTCGTGTCCAGTCACAGGACTGTACAAGACTTATATAAGATCAAGCCCATAAACATTATAGCATGGATAGAGGAGAGACACAGGAGACCCTATTTATTGGACCCAGAGGACTATTTAAAAAAAGAGATCTTGAAATTGGTGGAGAGTTGTAGAGAGACCTAAAAAGAGTTGGAGGGTATGGTGGGTGAAGATGATTGAAATACATTGCATGCATGCTTGAAATTATTAAATAATAAATAAAATGTATTTGAATTGAGTTGGAGGGTAATATATGATAACAAATCCTTCCATGAGATGCTTGTTCTTGCTCAGTTCATGAGGAGGATCAGAGGTGCTGGCAAGACTAATCAACCTGAGGCTACTGAGAAACAAGGAACAAAGGTGCAGCTAGAGTAGATGGGGAATAGAATTTTCACAGCAATCACAAGGATAGGAAGCCCAATAGCCAGTCTGCTCAGAATTTATTTACAGGCTGCTGTGTAATGCTTTCCTCTGAGATTGAAACATTCCATCCTTCAGGGAAGGAAGCTCCTTAAGCAGGAAGGAAAACAACTTAAAACAGCTTCAGGAAGTCTCTGGGACTGACCAAATTCACTAGGCTGCTCCCTGGCAGAGTAAGCAATAAAATCTGAGAGTCTTAAGATGAAGTGGAGCTGCAAAGATGACTCTCAGACAAGCCAAGGTGCAACGGAAACACTGAAACCAGACCAGCTGCCTTAAAGAAGCAGAAACCTGCTGAGCTGCCTAAAAGAGGTTGAGACTAACTGAGGCACCTGGAAAGGACACCCTCTATCCTGTTGAGCTGCCTATAGGCTGTGCAGTGTGTTCCAGGTTCCGAGCTTTGTGACCTGTCACCATGAAGGGGTGGGATTTGATGATGCCACTGACTTTGGGTCATATCTGCTCCTGTAAGTCATCTCACACCCATATTCCTGTAAGTAACTCCAGTAAAGCTTATGGTTCACTAGAGTTGGACTTTGGTGATACCCATATTGGCCTATGTATGTGTTATATCTCAACAGGTAAAATTTTGTCATACAACACAGGCCTACTGTGAAATGATGGTCAGAAACAAAGAAATTAATGTACCTCCAGGGAGATCACAAACAGTCACGGAAATATGGTATTATACAAGAGGCAAAAATCAGCCATCAATGGCTATAAGCCTAGATATACAAGACAGCTTATTAAATTTGAAGAAATTGCAGAGATGCAATTTATAGACTAATCAGAATGAAATCATAAACAGATTGAAGTAATAAAAGGACAAACAAATCTCAGAGCTGAAAAACACAATGAATGAAATTAAGATTCAATAAGAAAGAGAAGCAGCATTGATCAAGCAGAAAGAAAAAGTGAAATTGAAGACAGGAAATTGGAGTGAAGTGGATGAGACTGAATGAAGAGGGAGGGGAAACCTGAAGAAAGAAGGAGAAAAGATTGAAGGGATAAAGAAAAAGAGGAAGATTATTCAAAGTAATAACATCATATAACTTTCCAACCGTGGCTGAAAGTATAAATATCAAGGTGCAGGAAGGTAAAAAAACCACAGATTCAAGTCAAGTAAGACTACCTAAAATCATACGGTAATAAATTCTAAGTAATTCAATGTGGTAAATATTGTGTTCCCCAAAATATTGTGCACCCTAATAAACTTATCTGGGGTCAGAGAACAGAACAGCCACTAGATCTAGAGGCCAGAAAATGGTTGCACACACACCTTTAATCCTAGCATTCCTAAGGCAGAGATCCATGAGGATCTCTGTGAGTTTAAAGCCACACTGGAAACAGCCAGGCATGGTGACTCACACCTTTAATCCCAGGAAGTGAGCCTTTAATCCCAGGAAGTGATGGCAGAAAGCAGAAAGGTATATAAGGCGTAAAACCAGGTTAAGCTTTTAGGTTTTTGAGCAGCACAGTTCAGGTGAGAGGCATCCAGGCCGAGGAAACTGGATCAGCTGAGGAACTGGCAAGGTGAGGTAGCTATGGCTTGTTCTGTCTCTCTGATCTTTCAGCGTTCACCCCAATACCCAGCCTGGATTTGTTTTTGTTAATAAGACCTGTTAAGATTCATGCTACAATTCAAGACAAAGAGAATCCTGGAAACAGGACAGAAAAAGGAACAACTAACATAGGAGGGTCTCTGGTATGCCTGGCAGCTGACATTTCAGCAGAAACTTTCTAGTACATGATGGAGAGGGATGAGAGAGTCAAAGTGGTCCAGGGAGAAGGATGAGAGAGTCAAAGTGGTCCCAAAGGTGTGTGAGGGGAATCAACAAAACAACAAAACCCTGTTTGTCAGCAATACTGTATACACAAACTGTCCTTCCAAAAATAGAGCTAGAAAGACCTCAAACAGAACCTGAAGGAATTCCTTACCAATAGATGTACCTTACTAGAAAACCTGAGAGTGAAAAAAGATACTGACAGGTAATGAACAAAATACCCGAAGGTTTAAAATAATACATCAGTTTGAAATCTAGGTTAAACTGACTTTTGAAACTAAAAACTTACAAATAAATTGTATTTTCCCACAACCTTTAACTATATTCCAGAAGTACACTGTTGTAGTAATTAAAGAGATGAGTAAAATAAATGTTATTGGACAATACACAAATACATAGATATATGTATACACACATATTGTATTGGATAAAGGTCTGCATGCACACATATTACATAAAGATATTGTGATCAAGATGGACCAGTGATGTAACAGTGATCCTAAAAGATCATATAACCTTGGTACATTATCACCATTTTGTTTTTATTACTATACTCTGAATTATGTTTGTACAACAATAGAATTACCTAACAATACATTTCTCCCTAACATATTCATACGGCAAAGTGATGCATGAGTATGCCAAGAGCTGTTCTCCATGTAGGACACACCACAGTGAGCAAAATAGATGCATACCCTGCCTCTGAAAAATACACATACACTTACAACTATAAGAAAGTGAAAGCTTGAGACCATTGATTGTTCAATGGACTGTGGAATGCTCAAGGAACACATTGCTTCTGGTGAAATTCCCATGCTTATTTGTCATGAATAAACAGTTTGTGCTTCTCTTGTTCTGAATGGCTAACTGTAATAGGTCTATGTCTGACAGCAAAATTTGACCCGTGTCTCAAAATAGCTGTATAAATATTTCTTTCCACTCTGGAGCTTACATTCTCATTTTGAATTTTCATTTATCAGTATCAAATGTGATTGCCTTTTCTCATTATTATGTAAAAGGAAAGATTCTGTTATTTTTCAGTTTGAAGCAAACAGACTACAAAATATCATGCTGTGTTAGAGGCAAAAATGCCTCTGAAGGGGGAAGAATATTCAGCAGAAGCACTGTATAAACAAGAATGAAAAAGAATATGAAATTATTGTGAACCACAACAGATAAAACAAAAGGACTCTACACCATGATTTCCCAGAAAAGGGTACCAAATAGGAAGTCTATGGCCCTTCTTCCTTTTTTTTTTCTTGTAACTTTTCTACAATATGAAATCATCTTTGGTTTGATTAGGGATGGCTCAAGCAGTTTGTACTGAGATTCGTATCCTTTTCTTCTCTAAGCTTCTGGCTTTAAAGACACAAAGCTATTACCCTCTGATGGGTATTTGGTGATCTGTGCAAAATGGGTCACAGGATAGCTTCTCAAAAAAGACAGGCCGCTCAGTAAAAAGCCGACAAGTGCTAGGAGAGGACATTGTTGTTAGTTTATTAATATTTTGTTTTAAAAGAAATCCATGGATGATTGGACAGAGAGATTAAACTCTGATGAACAGCAAACTGGCCACATTAATAAGGAATAAGGGGAAGTTGGTATGCTGTCACTATCTTAGCAGAGCTTTGGGGTGGTTGGTATTGGACCATACAAGAATTTTCACAAATATTTTATCTAAAAAGAAAAAAATAGGGGGCAGAGTGGGCAGATGGTTCAGTGGGTGAAAGTGCTTGCTGCTCGTTGATGACCTGAGTGTCATCTCTGTGACCTGCATGGCAGAAGGAGAGGAATGACCCTTTGTTCCTTGTTCTACACAGACATGCCTTGACCTGCACACTCACACACACAAACATAAACGCACATACTTACCCAACACTCTGGAGAATGAGGCAATGAGACAGGATTATGGGTTGGAGGCCAACCTGGTTTATATATTGAGATCAAGCTTCAAAACCAACCAACCAACCAACCAACCAACCAACCAACCAACCAACCAACCAACCAACCAACCAACCACAGGCTTTGTGCCTTTAAACCACTTTAAACAAAACTACAACTTTTTCTTCACTCTTAACTTTGGAAATTTTACCATCAAATTCCATCAGAAAACCAGTTTCTGCCATACCAGCAACTGTGTTCTGGGTAGCCCAGTATAGTTTTATTTTTTTTTTTTGTAACACAAGCTACTATATGACCAAAACTTGGGAAGAATATTGCTACATATTCCTTAATATATTAAATTCACAGGAATTATATTTGAAGATATTTATAAAATAATGAAAATTCTAGGCAAAAATTGAAACCCCTAATTCATTTCAGAATATCATAAAGTAATGGAGAGGTCTCCTGAGTGAGGTAATCCAGACTCAGAAGGACAAACATGTTATGAATGAACCCACTCATAAGTGGATACAAGATGTAAAGCAAAGGATAACCAGACTACAACCCACAACTCTAGAGAAGCTAGCTAAGAAGGAAGACCCAAAGAGAGATGCATGGATCGCCCTGGGAAGGGGAAATAGATGAGATCTCCATGAGTAAACTGGGCATGAGGGGTGGGCAATGGAGAGTAGGGGATAGGGGATGAGAACATAAGGGAATGGGATGGTCGAGCTGGAACAGGGATGGAGTGGGAAAGCAGTGAAAGAGGTACTATGATAGCAGAAGACATCATGGGGATAGAGAGAAACCGTGTGCTAGGGAAGTTCCCAGGAATCCCCAAGGATGACCCCAGCTTGGACTATTAGAAATAGTGGAGAGGGTACCTGAACTGAACTGGCTTACCCCAGTGACCAGATTGGTGAATACCCTAACTGTCATCATAGAGCTTTTCTCCAGTGACTGATGGAAGCAGATACAGAGATCCACAGCCAAACACCAGACAGAGCTCCAAGAGTCCAGTCAGAGAGAGAAGAGGGATTCTATCTATGAGCAAGGGGCATCAAGATCATGATGGGGAAACGTACAGAGACAACTAAATCAAACTAGTGGGAGCTCATGAACTGTGGACCAATAGCTGTGGAGCCTGCATGGGACTGGGCTAGACCCTCTGCATGAAAAGACAGTTGTGCAGCCTCATCTGCTTGGGGGCCCCCCTGGCAATAGGATCAGAATCCATCCCTGGTGCATGAGGGGGCTTTTTGGAGCCCACTACCTATAATGGAACACCTCTTGCAGCCTTGAGGCGGGGGTGGGGTGGGGGAGGGAGAGGGGCTTGGACTTGCCTCTACTGGATGTGCCTCCCCATGTGAAGCCTTGCCTTCTTGTGGGGAGGAGTGGGGGGTGGTTTAGGAGGGGGAGGCTGGGGAGGCTGGGGAGGCAGGAGGAGGAAAGAAAGGAATCTTTGATTGGTGTGTAAAATGAATGGAAAATTTTTCTTAATTAAAAAAAGAAAAACAAAAAATAACGGAGAGGTCATTGTTTACACATTGGATCATAATTCCACATACAGCAAGGAAAAAATCTGTATGTCTAGAAAAATCCTTTGTACATCAGAGAAACCTGCTAAACATTTCATTTTCATTCAGTCAATGTATATTGACCTTTTCATGTGTGCAAGGCACTGATATTTGGTATATAGTGCATGTATTCTGCCAAAACTCCATCTGTACTGAATAGCAGTAAAGAGGTGACTTACTCAATAGTGTATCTGTCATACACAGAATATTGCCAAATATGTGCTCATAACTAAGTAGTATGATGTAAAAGAGAATTAGACAAAAAAGATCAGTCGGATGGGCAAGGAAGTCTATCAATATTTTGTTTTTATCATTTGCAAAGACAAAAATCAATCATTTTTCAGTTTTGTAGTAGCTGTCCATTGCTTGTTTTTGGAGCCTGTATCTCTCTGGGCATCCCAAGCTAGCTTCAGACTACCACCAATTTTCCTTCCTATACCTTCTAAGCACTGGGATTGCAGGGGGATGTGTAAAATGTAGAAGAAAGTGTTCCAAAAGCTTTTACGAAATGAATATTCATAAGTAAGTCTCTCTCTCTCTCTCTCTCTCTCTCTCTCTCTCTCTCTCTTCTCTCTCTCCTCTCTCTCCCTCCCTCCCTCTCTCCTGTGTGTGTGTGAGAGAGAGACAGAGAGAGAGACAGACAGAGATAGAGACAGACACACACAGAGACAGACACAGAACCTAATAACAACTAAAATGTGGCATCCTAGAAATAATTTAGCAGTTGCTGAATAATGAATGTGCAAGGATATTAAGGATTAAGCCAAAGACCAATATGATAGCCAACCCACAGAGAAATTAAATCCAAATTAGGTGATGGATATGGCACATGACTGTTATAAAATTTTAAAGTATTTGTGCCTTCATGTGATGAATCTAGGAATTACAAAAGCTGGAGACATGGGATGCCCCATAGGAGTAAA